TTTTTAGGGAAAGCATATAAAGCAATGTTCAAACCTTACTCTTCAAAGTTGCGTATTTGATGTAACATTATCAGTATATACATCTTTCACTATCTTCAGCGTCTTGGTAAGTACACATTTCAAGTTGGAACTGAGGAAACAGAGTTTGCTGACGGGATAGCACTTCCTAGGGCAATGTATCAAGTAAAGTACAACACAAAAGTACAAAAGTTGCGTTGTTAACGTACTAGACTCTCCAAATGTTTCATTCAAGTTCAATGCAAGAACCGATGTAACTTTGACTCTCTTTGGTGCCTTGGTAAGCACACATCTCTATTTATAAGTTAGAAAGCCAAAATTACTAATTCATGAGACAAATTTGTAGGGAAAGCATCACTAGAAAAATCAACGCATACTCGTCAAATCTGTGCTGTTATTATACCGCACTTAACAAGTATTACAATCAAATTCATTTACGTCAACAAAGACACCTTTGAATATCTTTTATGCCTTGGTAAGTAAACATCTAAATTCAAATCGAGATCGACAAAAACTTCTAACATGAGGATACATTGCAGGGAAAGCATATAAGCAAGATTTAAAACTTACTCTTCAAAGTTGCGTATTGATATAACATTATCAGTATATACATCTTGCACAATCTTCAGCGTCTTGGTAAGTACACGTTCCAATTGGGACTGAGAAAATTACAGTTTGCTGACGAGATAGCACTTCTTAGGGCAACGCATGAAGTAAAGTACAACACAAAAGTACTATAGTTGCGTCGTTAATGTACTAGACTCTCCAAGTAATTCATCCGAGTTCAATGCAAGAACCGATGTAACTTTGACTCTCTTTGGTGCCTTGGTAAGCATTCATCTCTATTTACAAGTTAGAAAGCCAAAATTACTAATTCATGAGACACCTTTGTAGGGAAAGCATCACTAGAAAAATCAACGCATACTCGTCAAATCTGTGCTGTTACTGCACCGCACTCAACCAGTACTCCAATCAAATTCATTTACGTCAACAAAGGCACCTTCAATATCTTCTATGCCTTGGTAAGCATACATCTAAATACAAATCGAGATCGACAAAAACTTCTAACATGAGAATGCATTGCAGGGAAAGCATATAAACAAGCTTCAAAACTTACTCTTCAAAGTTGCGTAATTGATATAACATCATCAGTATATACATCTGACACTATCTTCAGCGTCGTGGTAAGTACACATTTCAAGATGGGACTGAGGAAGTTAGAGTTTGCTGACGGGATAGCACTTCTTAGGGCAACGCAAGAAGAAAAGTACAACACA